TTAATAAATCAAAGTTAGGCATTTTAAATCCTTTTATACTTTAGTTTTCCTTTCCTTATACTACCATGAAAATATACTGCCATACTTAAAACTATAACCTTAAAAAACATTTAACATCTTTACAAAAGTAAAAAGTGCATGACAAATTGACACACCTTTATTATTAGTAAACATGACAACTAAAGTCTACTTTTAGTTGAAAGAAAAAAAAAAAAAAAAAAGCCCACGGATTTTACTATAGAAGCCAATGACTTCATGGCTAATGAATCATTAAAATGTGAGCATGGACAATTACCTTTGTCATGAAGCACATGGACGAGATTATTAGTAAACACAAAGGTACATCTTATTCTTAGTCAAATCAAGTGACCCCCCGTGCCCATGTGTGTTAAAAATGGTTGGAGAATTAGTAAGGTTAAGAGTATATGTAATTGGCATCATCATAAATAAATAAATGATGATGAGGGGCCCAAGGGCATAATGGGTGCAGGTGTGGAAGGACTTTTCCTTAGCAAAGGCAGGATGTGGGGGGACCATGTACCCCCTTTTATCCCCCAACCTTGTTGGCGTTGGTTTAATATAAACTTCGCCTATTTTTTCTTCTTCCTCTTCTTCTTTCTTTTTCTTTTTTTTTTTTTTTCAAGTGCTTGCTTGGTTCTCTTTGCTGATCTTGTGATTGATTCTCTCCAGGTTTTATGCTGTTAAAGCTCCACATGCTTGTACCATACTACTTACCCGAAGAAAAGAGCTCTTGTATTTATGGAATATATACTGGAATTGGAATTGAAAGGAAAGTAGTGTTTGGGATAACTTGCATTATGAGGTTTGATTTGAGGGGCATGGCGCATTGATGCCATTGTAGTGGGATTTGATATTTTGCTTCCTGAGTGAAATGGCCTCATGGGTGGTACCAGTTCCACCATGTGTGGTCGGAGCCATGTGTTTAGGTGGTTAGCCCGAGTTATCATCCGGGCCTTGATGCTTGATGGGACTAGGCCACTTACCAATATGGCAATATCATTTCAATTAGGTCCCAGCTGACGTTGGGCTTCAGCTAGTTCCATACCCATAAAGTTAAACGTTGAGTTTAAGTTGACCTAAACTCTGAAAAGATCACTCGTTTCAAAAAAAAAAAAAAAGAAACTCTGAAAAGATCACAAACTACTTGAACTAAATTACTCAACTATTACTCAACTCGACTTATTTACAATCTTTTGTAGCTTTGAAACCACTCCTAGTCCTAACCCT